TCGTCCGGTGGTGGACAGTGGGCTCCCCGTCGTTGATCTCGGCCTCGGCCTCGGCCTCGGCTTCGGCCTCCTCGTCGCTCTCGCCCGCGTCACCGAGGAGGCTCGTGTCACTGTCGGCGTCGCTGGGGAGGTCGTGTTTGGTGCGACAGAGGTTGCCCGCCTTGAGCAACACGAGCTGGTTCTTCGCGGCCACCTCGGCCTGGGTGCCGCAGACGAGGAGCATGGAAAGGGGGTACCTCGTCCGGTTCGCGCCCTCGGCGTCGCGGACGACGTCGAAGGAGAGGCAGGGATACTCGGTGCACAGCTGGAAGAAGGTGTCGTAGGCTTTGTTCTCGTACTCGAGCTTGCCGTCACCCTCGAGGGGGTCGCCTTTATCATGGCGCCACACCGCGACCTCAGCGGCGTCGCGGTTATCATCGTCCTCACGGACTGGGGCAATTTTGACAGACGAAAACTCACTGTTCAGTGCAGCATCAGACTCTTTTCTAAACTCGACGTATTCGTCGTCGTCATTATCCTCTTCAATTATTTCCTCTTCTTCGACGTCAAATTCGACCTCGTTGCCCTCGTCTGTGCCTTCTGTTGTGTAGCTCCATTCACCGTCAGATTCCACCGCTACTGAAACCTGCGCCGTATCTGCCTTTATTCCTGCATCACCTTCAACGCGTCGGCGTGGCTCTTGATCTTGGTTCGCATCACGGACTTGCCTTTTGTTTCCCCTATTCATATTTGCAATGCTATTTTTCAAATAAGTTCTTTCAAAACTATAGAAGCTAGTGGAGGGGCATTAAAAATAAAAGATTAGCTCAAATACATGCGTAAAAATATAGAAGGTACATAATATCAATATCAATTAAACGGTAAGTTAGCGCATTTCTCGAATGATATGACCAAAGTGTCATTATACAGAAGGAAAATAAATGACGAGTACTAAATCAGTGCAATGAGTAAAGAAAAAGTCCAAACGCAACAGAAAACATAAGAGTTTACAAAACTCCCCTAGGGGATCATATTAGGATGAGGACAGAATAGGAAAAATTGAGCGAAAAGAACTTCACCTTCTAAAGGCTACTCCCGACTTTCAACCTCTCATTGAACACAACAACATGCTTTTCTCAAAGCGATTGTAACGCCTTCAAGCGCTTCTCGATATCGTCCTCGGCAAGTTGAGAAGCAGATGCATGTTCACGTATTCCAGAATCCAATGGACCATTAGACATTTTCGTGCTGATATCAATATTATTTTCTTCGGCGATCTGCGCTAGTAAAGTATCCACCTGAGTAGCCGGGATGACGCCTGCCGAAGTGCTTTCAAACGCAGCATTCATGGTTCCAGTGTTGATCTCTAGGGTTCCTACGTGCTTCTCAAACTCATCCATGAGTTTTGTGATCCTCATGGGATCCAATGACTCCATAACTTTCTCCATACCCTTCACAGCACTCTTCATTAACTTTGACGTTTCCTTCATTTGAATTGCTGTCTGGATACGCGACGACGCTGCATCGATTCGGGAGGCAAGACGAAGATAGTTGAGGCTTTCGTTGTGTTTTCGAATAGAGTTCTCTGCATAGATGCGCGCGGCTTCTGTATTACCCTTTTCAATAGCCTTTTTGACCTTGTTCTTTTCCTTTTCGCTATCCTTTTCCGCTAGATTAGAGCTTTTTGAGAACTGCTTTGATGTGAACTTGAGGCTAAACAAGACGTCATAGATTCGGTCATCCTTCATCATTATCAAACTTTGTTTCCCCTATTATATGCTTCGGTTTCCGGAGATACCTCTTGAGATCTAATAGTATGTCTTCCTCTTCGATATGAAAATGAAAACTCAAGACAACATACAAACAAGTGATTCAAGACTGTAGCCACCTGGTATCAGGCATGTGGATTTAAATAGTCGCGCCCTCCCTCCTCCAGTAAAGTAAATTCAGAGAGCCTCTACCATAAACCTTTCAAAAAGATCCACCAAACTCAAAAAAAAAGAAGCCTCTTTTCCTTCTGATGCACACCAGAAAAGTTTTCAACGGTTTAACTGGATGAAAAGGAGTCAGAAGTATAGAACCCACAACCCTCTATCATGTAGCTATCATGATTAGGGGCAACATTGTATGGAAGGCAAAAGTGGGCATAAGAATACAGAAAAGGATAGATCGGTGATACACGCTCTTAAGGGAAATCCACAAATCAAGCGTCGCATCTATGCACAGACATAAAAATGACAATACACTCCTCATACTACCTGCTGTAAGTAAACAAAGGTTATCCATCCGACATAACGAGTAGCTAAACTTCTCCCCTTCCACATACACTAGTACAAAAGAATAGAGCACTTTCCCTCCCCCTTGCAATACCTAAGGAATCAGGAATGACTGAAGGGATTTATTCACAAACCTTACCATTGAGTTGGTTGATAACCACTATTACAAGAAGAGCTGAAAAAGCTTATTGTGACATATCGTGCGATAAACGCAACTCATGAAGCATAGAATACAGCAACGGTATCGACGTCGGCGCGCTCCCAAGATTAAGCTCCACTGCCAAAACCTTCCTCGGGACCTGACTAACCGGCACCTGTGCCTCAAGTTGAAACACACCAAGTGTGTGCTCAAGGCCGTTAAACACGAGATACTCCTTTATAAGCTCGTTGATGATTAAATTCTCTGGAGGATCTGGGGGTCGTATGGCGCCCATGTCACCCTCCTTGCTACCAACATCAAGCCCTGTATTCCCGGAAAGTTTTCTAAATACAGCTGCTCGAAGCTCCGCCTTTATATGGCTTATTGTCCCGTCTGCCTCCAAAGCATCGCGCATGGCATTCCTAAGGGACTCCTGGCCAGACATCTTGAGAAAATCACAACCTGAGCGATTGAATTTTTAAAAAGTAATGAATGCCTCTTAAGCATTCAATAATGAAAAATTTCTCGATCTAGTTGTTGAATCTTGTCTTGGATGGGATTTGTTGGAAAAATGAAGACGAAAGAAAATAAAAGGAAGAAATGAGAAAAAGGGGGCATATCGAAAAGAACATTTACATCCATTTTCCCTTTTACGTGTTTCACTGGAACTTGAATTCTAATTATTTACTCCATAAAAGTAGTTTTTAGGAACAATTATCCAACCTATATTAGTACAGAAAAGTGCCCTGTTTAAATTTTTTATTATTCTACATGCGCATTGCATGACCTTATGACTTTTTTCTAGAAAGTCTGTGCTCTATTCTATACATCTTTTTGGAAAAATTTTTGTGAAAGAGATGATACAGAATAAAGGATACTAATAAAAAAGAAATTAGCACAGATGTTAAGAATCTCAATTCCGTGGTAGAGGACCACTTGCTCACATCAACTACTTAAAATTACAGACCTTGCAACTACCTCGTTTTAATAAGTCCACAAAGAGTAGACCCAAAATCCTTGTAAGGAACCAATATTTGTGGAACTCCAAGCCATCTGAAAGCGCATGGTAAGAGCCCGCGTGAGCATCTCGAGGTTGCCTAGGATTGATCGTATATATATATATACATATATATATAATACAATTGGAAATCTTCCATGTGAAAAAATACCCCAGACATAATGATGTTAAGCTTTTTTAAAAAAGCTAGCGCCTCCTTAGATACAAAGCGATGAGGACGCTAACTAGGAGCATCCCTATAGCTATTCTAGGCGTGTAGATAGAATAGCTTCCGTTGGTAATTTTCCTTTTGTCGGACCCATTAGGCGTTTGACCCTCCAAAATGTATTTTTCCTTTCTATTTCTGCGCCGTCTCTTTCTTTTTGTAGATTCAGTTAGATTAGTATCCAAATGACCCTCTGTGGCTGATGTATCAGGGGCGCCCGCTTCACTATCCTCCACATTCGCAGAGCTGGTGGTTCGTATAGTAGGCAATGGAAATGCAGTAAACACCATCTTTTTCTCGTTGTCTTCGTCAATTCTTCGGATAAGACATCGATTTTTACTGATGGCAGCAAGCTCCTCTCCATTACCAAGCTTCTTAATATCCTCTATTTTTAAACTCCCGTCCTTCTTGTATTTAAGCTTCAAGATTTCATTGCCCCCACTGGCACCCACAAGAACTGTAGATGATGAGAGCGCCACACAGAGCGGATCTATACGCATGCTCTCAGCCAGAGCGCCAGATTCATCACACGGATTCTGTCGTGTGATGGAAAGCGAAATCGAAGGCGAGAGCACACGTGCAGAGTTACCAACAATATAAAGAACGTCCGCAGTGCCATCGTCATTAGCAATGACTGCAAAGTTGCCGGAGCCGCACGAACCACGTAATAGTTTTCGTTTCCCTCTCCTACCTCGTGTGTTTTTGAGGGTGAGGGAATCCACCTTTTTATTTCGATCCACATCCCAGAGGTGAACCGACGGTGGTTCATTCGACAGCAACCCTAGTAACTTAAGGGAAACAAATGGGTAAATATCTCTGTCACGAACTACGACCTTCAGTTTGCCCTTCAGAAACTTTATAATGGAAGTTAAATTATCGGGGTTACTTACAACTAAATACGCAGGCTTTAACCAAAGCACACTCGACGCCAATGGGATCTCAACTTCGTCAAGCAACTCAGTCAAATTATCGTCATCAAATCTATAAACCTTGAGGACGGATCGTGATGAATCATTGTTGATATGCAGGCTTTCGAGAACCGCGTCGTTGTGGGGACACACAAGCGCAACTATACCCATTTCCTCATTGAATGCGTGTGCGAGAGCCTTGCTGCCATAGAAAAGAGAGAAGCTATTTTTATCACCTTTTGATTCCATGTAGAGGTTTCCCTTTTCATCTGTAAAAACGAACCTCCCATCATTCAGTACTGACATTCTCTATAGGAACAAACACTTAATAGTAATGTAATAACAAAATAAAAAGAGGGAAAATAGGCGAATAACTCTTTGTCCTTAGACGTTGCAAACGCAAAGAAATAAAATGAAGACACAATTGAATTAAGTTTATGAGCCTTTAAACGGTCAGTATCTTCAAGCAGACAGAAGAAACGGTTACTTTCTGTATTCATTTTATTTCCAAAAAGATTTAATCAGCAATATTAACTATTTATTATTACTTTTATTATTTATTATCCTCAACTCAAGAATCACATGCTTTATCAATAGAATACCCCAACAGACTTAACAGCATGAAGAGGCACATTGTTGCACACTATAAACGGTTCTTTAGAATGGGGAATTATAAAGAGAAGGAACTTAACTTGCTTTGCTCAGGCACAGATTTATGCAATTTTACGAAAAGGGAAGGAGAACCCTTGCAGAACCCATTTTCCCCAATGATAAACTTTACTGAGCATTGCATTACTCGAAGCTAAGGTAGCGTACCCACCTTCATTGTTTTTCATTCTAACAACAAATGGAAATGAATCAACCAGACAAAGAAATGAAGAAAAACAAACAACTGCAGCTTAGCGACGATCGCGAGCGCCGTTACTTTTAACCTTTCCGGTGAAAAGATGCTTAGGGCGTAAGTTAGGAATATGATGATCGGCCTCACCTTTGCGTGCCTGCCTTGCAAGCGGGCGTGCCTTCACTTGGCTAATCTTCACCGCACGTAGCTTTTCGTTCACATCCTTAAATCCCTCCCCGCGTGAGGTGCTGATGCTCCTGTCTGATCGACCTGGGCGTCCACTGAGGCTGCGCGTGGTCTTGGTCGTTACGTGCATGGAGCCCGAACGATCGCGTATTAAAGCTTCCTGGGCAACTGACATTGAGCGACCACGTTTTCTAGAGGGTATGGCACTCGCCCCCTCGGAGTTCACCTCACGCGCATCTTGGCTTCCTGTACGACTATTGAACCGTTTGATGGCAACAGATTGCTGTCTGGTGCAGCGAACGCTCGGGTTCTTCATTGCACGCTCCATCTTAAGAACCTTAACCTTATCTTTGATAAATTTTACCGCCTCGAGTGTGTCGTCATCGAGCTCGTACTGTGTCTTTTTACCAGATTCTTCTAGCTCCAGTTGCTCTAGGCGCGCTTCTTCTTCCGCTTCCAGCTCGAGTAGACGCTCGTGGATGTCAGGATCAATGTTATCATAAATATTCTTTCCATCCATGATGTCCGGGATGATATCATCCACCCACTCAGGATCTTCAAGATCCCATGTTTTACGTTCGTTTGCCTGGTAGCAACCAGGACCACCATTCTCCCACTCGTAATCCCGCTCGGTCTTTCGGCGGACGCGTGGTGGGGCATCAGAGGCAAGCTCCTCCCGAACGCTTTCTGGGATGTATTCACCACGCTCGACATTATCGCGAGGTACAGGAACTGCACAATAAAGACGATTTTGAATGGCCTGATAGCGACCGGACCCTTCCTTCTGCTCTGAGCGATGAGCGAGCAGAGTATCGCACGCCACCGTCTTTAAGTCTCCAACTCCAACATCAGTCAGAGTGCTAGTTGTTATCCATTTTGCATTGCATTCTTCAATAGCAGACATGATCAGTTCCTGATCCTGGGCCTCAACTTCATCAATTGTGCAGACATCAGACTTGTTGAAGACCACTACAACTGGTTTCCCTACGAAAAGTGGGCCAATTGAGCGGAAAAGAGAAACTTGTTGCGAGATAGAGTATCCGCATTGCCCGCTCAAATCCATAAAGAAAAGAATACAAGCTCGAAGATGAGCAAGAGCAGTAATAGCTTGCATTTCAATAACGTTCCGCTCCTCCAAGGAGTGGTCCAAAATGCCAGGAGTGTCAATAACTTGCCAAGTTGTATAATTATAATCGGTGTGGCCAACAAAAAGCGACTTCGTAGTGAATGCGTACGGCTGAACTTCTACATTAGCACGTGTTACTTTATTCATAAAGCTAGACTTGCCAACGTTCGGGAACCCTGTAATCAAAAGAGTTCGTGCATTTGGATCTATTGAGGGTAAGCGAGACATATGCTGGCGAACCTTCTCTAGATAGATCAACGCACTGTTTAGTTTTTTGCATGCTGTAGCCATTCTTCCTAAAGCCGCCCGTTTAAGTTGCTTGCAGCGGTAAAGAGAATCTCCGTACTTAAGTAAACGAACGTAGTCTCGCCCTATGTTATCCACCATGTGGCGTACAGCTCCAACTTGACCAAGAGCAACCTTGTAGTGGTCTCTGTCGTATAAAATATGCATAAGATCACCATAGAAGGGATGTATGTCATCCATGCGCGGAAACTCCTGTAAAATATAGGTAAGCTTTTCATTAATAGTTTTTTGTGTGAATTTCACTTTTCTCATGTAGAATTGCCGAATTCTCGAAATGTGGTAACCTTTGTGCACCACTGTCGGGGTTTTACGCTGTGTCTTGGATAACACAATATCCATAAAGTCCTTATAGGTTGGTACAACCGTGATGGACTTAAAATTGTAAGTCAATGACATCTTTTCTGATAAAATAAAAATAATATATGTGAAAAAAAATTGTCCACAAGAGTGGCTTACTAAACAAAGAGATAAATTCTAAGGAATAGATTAGTTGGTATGCTGATGACTATTACAATAACGTATAGAAATGAAGTCATACTCTTTGAAACAATTCTCCGATAATAATCATTCAAACCTTTTGGTCTCATCATGAATCCTCATGCATGGTTAATAACATATGGCATAAAGAGAGAATAAAATACCCTACAAGGTAAAATACAATATGTCATTTATGCTAATATGCATTTTTATGTAGCATATACACATCTATTATTATTATTACTCTATTAATGTCAAGATGTGTATTGCATTTTCATCATCGCACTATATATTCAGCCTTGAGTAAAAGTTATTCGTGAATATTTCAGATATATATATGAAATGCTATGTTTTCTTTTGCTAATGAGAATCAAGTTAAACCATTTGGGACACAAAATAATGAAGTGACCCCCAAAAAAATTCCTGATATATGCTATGATGAATTTAATTGCCACTATTTAATTATGCAAGATTCAATCCGCCCAGTATACTCAAAAGTAAGCCTGATACTTTAAACACAAGACAAAATTCACAATTAGCTTTTTTTAAAGGTTCAAATACATACTGACATTCTCTAATACGGGAAATTGAAGGGAAACACAAGAATAATTAAAATATTATTTCTTTCAAAAAAACATACAGCAAGAAATAATAATCAACCAAAAAGGAAATTGAAAATAAAGCTACCTTAACAATTAACATTCACCCTTTCATTGCATTTTTATGATCAAAGAAGTCAAAAGAAAACGATATTAAATGTTCCAATAACGGAACATAAAGATATAATTTAACACCAATATATATATATGTTTACTCATGATAGATCGGTAATCATATAACTACCACTTCCTTTTAGTTCGAGGAGCACATTGTGTATAGACTTTAAAGCTTCATGATGAGAAACAGTAATAAGAGTTATGCCAGCCTTCTGAAGTTCAGTATAAAGATTGACTTCATCACATTGTGGGATCGCCGAAGTGCATTCATCCAAAAAAACGAAGATAGGGCGATGAATGAGAACACGCACTAATGCTACTCGTTGTCTCTCACCCCCCGAAAGAACTTTATGCCAATCCTTGACAACATTAAGTCCTCCTTCTCTCTGAACTATTTGTGTTAGTCCTAGAGAAGCTGCACAGCGCATTATTTCATTATCCGTTAAATTATTCGCATGCGCCTCAGCTTCAGTAAAGGGATACACCATTTGTGCTCTCAGCGTTCCTGGGGGAAGATAAACCCTTTGGGAAAGAAAAAACATCTTTTCCTCCGAAGGTTTTTTTACAATACCACTGTGTGGCAACCATATTCCACCTATAATCCTTATTAAGGCCGATTTCCCGGAGCCATTACAACCCATAATTAAAACATGTCGTTTAGCAATAATGCATAGGTTTAAATTGTTAACTAAAAGTGCCCCTGTAGGAGAAATAATGTCGACACTCCTCAAAACGATTTCGTTGCCTTCATCATCAAGAATAATATTGTTCGCATGCAGGAGATTATTTGACAGTGAAATTTGACAGAGCATTCCACGGAGCTCTTCCACACGGTGTGCGCTACTGCATACTGCTGCGATCTTGTTATATAGAAGAAGTAACCGTCCAATAGCTTTTGATAGTGGTATATAAAGTTGCACGGTTTGTAGGTACAGTTTCGTGAGCTCTACCTTCGATCGATAGTTCTTTTGATTAAATACTACTACACTAGAAACAATATAGCCTGTGCAAGTTGCACCATACTTAGCAAGGATAAAATCTAAAAACCCATTCCACCATTTAGTTTTTTTGATACGAGTTTCGTGTTTGATGATTGATTTTAAAATTTTTTCCACATGCTCACATTCTAGTTCTTCGCCACTATGGAACGCAATTTCCTCAGCATGTTGGAAAAGTTGATTGTGTGCTGCACGCAAATTACCCTCCTTTTCTTGGCTATGGGCGATCAAACTTTCGAAATCTGCCTTGAACGAAGTTGTGAAGATGATTACAAAAAGGTAATACGATATCAAGATCGCTAAAGCATCGAATCCACCGACTTTGGAAAGATTTACAGATAATATGATCGCATCTATTAGTGGTCTTATGGCCGAAAGAAATAAATCTACCAATGTCGTGCAGAAGACGCTTGAGTCATGGTGAATTCGATGATCGGGATTGTCCAATGTATGTTGTGAAGATATTTTATACAAATTGTTTCCCTGAAAGTATTCGTTCTCTAAAGTAGTCTGTAAATTTTGTTTGAATCGCCTCTGGAGTATGGATTTCACATGGAAAATCGACACATTGATGATAGTCCCAGGAATCGCAAGGAGACCAATATCAACAACCCCAAATATAAATTGTTTCATCTTTTTTTCAACAAGAAACTGACCATTTTGCCCTATGGTTCGAGCTATCAGTAAGGTGAGCCTCGTTCGAAGAAATAAAAGTGCAGTTAACGCAAAAATAATTGTGGACTCAAGTGAAATAATGCCAGGAATACAAATTTTTATCAAGGAACGTATTTGACTCAAAGACGCCCTGCTTATTTTAGTAGCTCGCGAGCGATATCTCATGTTCTTTCGTTTCCTCCAGTGATCAGAAAGAAACGATAGGAAAATTTTCGAAATTAAAGACGCACATAATAACTTAATAGAATAGTGGCTAAATATGCCCTTGTTCTTCAGAGTTGACAAGCTTGTCATTTCGTTCACTATAAACGACCGATAAAAACGCAGAAAAAAATGCCTCGGTAAGATGGACAATTAACTAAGTGACTTGTTCGGGAATAAACAAAAATCAACCAAGCAGGTGAAATGACAAAAACACTTGCTTAAGGTTATATTATGCTGACAGCATTCTCATTCCACAGGATTGTAAACCTATTCAAAGTATACACCGACCCCCACCCCCACACTCGCTAAGAAAACAATAAAACCCGCGATAAGTGATCCTTAAGTCCCTTCCGCGCTAAATCTAACTGCATGATAATCCTCACTGGGCTCATTGTAAGCGCGGGGTAAGAAATTTATTTTCGTATTTGTGGACCTCCATTTTCTGGATGAGCAGAAGGTGTGATCCAAAATACATAAGATTCGAAACGTTTGTGGGTCTGTAGCGGAGTTCTCCCCGTCGAAAAAATTATTAAACATTGTTATGTTAATGTAGTACTTTTCCCCCTATACTTTTCCTCTGGATAGGATACTTGTCGATGTCCCCGTCGCTTCTATTATTTGCGGGGGCGGTAATAGGTACTGTTGGTGTGTTCTACACTATTTTAAAGCCTAAAGTGTATCGCTTAGTGCTCATAGGTGCTGGTTTTGGGATGGGCAGCGCTGCTTTTATTGCTTATGTAAATCGCTCAAGACATTCAGTAACTGCAAGCTTTGTACCTATAACCCTAAAAACGGCCTCCATCAATTTTGAAGAAATCCGACCAGTTATTTACGAAAATTTTGCATTAGATCGTATGGGAAGCGATCTGCCTGATTCAAACAAAGAGAAGAGCCGCATATATTCTAAGGACTTTGGACATCCCAAAGTTTTAGACATTGATGAAGTTCGCCGTATGTGGCTATCAGCCGTGCTTCCTGTTTTTAGGAGCTACGGTGGAAAAGAAAAATTTGCAGCAACTGAATCGGTGGAGGACATAGAACGTGGTATTGTTTTTTGTGAAATAGGGAGCAAATTCGGTGATATCTGCCTGCAGCTTCTGGCGGAAACAAAATGCACAAAGACTATAGGAATTGAAGCAAATTCATCACTAATACAAACATCCAAGGAAGTTGCCAAGCGGGCGCAAGAGTATTATCCAGAGGTTTTCAACGGAAAGGAATGCATATGGATTGAAGACGATTTTTCGAACTGCACCGATATACTAAAAAAAGAAGCCGTTAATACAATATTCACTTACGAAAGACTGATTGATAAAAATCTAATGGAGAAACTTACTTCTTTTGCTCGTTCAGTACCCTCTGTTAAGTGTATAGTTACCTCACAAAAGATCGATGATGAACTTCTAAAATCCGCCTCATTTGGGCTCACTTTTGTCTTCCATTCGTCTTCTGATTGGAGCAAGGGATCGCTCCTTTATGTTTATCAAAGACAATAGAGTCTAAATATACTTTCTCATCATGCCAACATGGATATAAGATTATGATATCACTTATCATACACATATAAAAAAATCTGATTGCTTTTGAGGTATCTATTGAAATAGTGATATGAAATTTTCTCAATAACAATGTGGCTTGTATATTTTAACTGTTATCAGTGAATGTGTAGAAGTACAATACATTGTGCAATTATCAACGCTAAATACTCATTTTATTCTTAAACAAAAAAAAGTTAATATATATTTATATTTAAGTATAAATATTTATCTTAAGCGCATAAAGAAATACATTATGAGCGCCCATGAGTCTTCCTCCAGTGGGACCGAGAGTGATTCATTGTTTGGATATATGAGCAGTAGTGGAGGGAGTAATACAATTTTTCTTTCTCCACTTAGTGAAAATGAAAGCAACGATGCTGTTCTCTCGAGCGAATCGATTCCTGTAGTCAAGCAGCTTATGAGAAGACTGATAAAAACTTCTTCATTACTGAAAACTACAAAGGAACACTTGGACAATTATCAAGGCAGCAGCGATAGTGACCGTGAATTGCTCATGAATGAGTCTGAGAATTTGAGCAAAATATTAGACTTATATCATTTTCTATGGGGAAGGCTTTTGTTTGTCCTCCATGATGAGCACGGAAAATCGTCTGATTCATATTCAAATTCACTTAATTTACAAGACCGCATTCCTTTCGAATCATTGACGCACACTATTCATCACAATAGTGAATTTTGCGATATTCTTGGCGAAATCACGAGTCGCTCATTAGAGCAACAAACCGATAGTGACGAGGACTCTGTTGATCTTCGCTGCGCAATACTAAAAGAATTTCATCAAAAAATGGCCCAAATTCAGCTAAATGCGGCCTTTTGTGCCCTATTTGTAGTTGAAGGATCCCGTGAGCACTATTTAGACCCAGTATCAATGGATGATCTCTGTAATTCTGTCATAAAGGAAACAAATCGATGCAAGAGATTAGTGCCTCTATCGCTAATGTTCAGTATGTTTGACCAAAATGTTCTAGCGATTAATGATGCATTGACATACGGAACCTTGAGTATTCTTCTACAGCGTTTCCGCCATTTAGTTCATCGTCTATTTGGTCAATTTCCTGAAAAAAAAGGAAATGGAGAATCTAGTCATCATGAAACTAGTTCAGTAAACCAACAATATAGCACAGTTGTGATACGAAGTGAGGCGAATTCGAGGAGGAGCTCATACAGAGCGTCTCCATCAGCGCCTCAATCATCCTTGCCCGAAGGTTTAGCTGCACCTAATTCCACAATTAAAACTGTCCGTATGAATAGGCTAGGTGACAATGAAGCTGTACCAGATTCCCCGCTTCCGGTCACCTCATCCTTGAATGGAACTTCTGCACTAGATGATCCACATTTGATGCACTCAGCCCATGTTAAACGTAACAGGGAACGAGGTGACTCACCTTTGCTAAAAAAGTCAAGGTGGTTTGAGCTTGAGAATAATGTACTATTGTCCTTATCCTCATGGCATCCTAGCATAGGTGATAAAGTTTGTCGAGGACCTGGATGGTGCTACAGTAAGCAGGGAGATGGCTGCGATTATGGGGAAGTCGTTGCACTTACGGTGGATAATGAAGTAATCGTTAGATGGGTTACGAGCATCGATGCGTCTCATGGGGAGTCTAGTCGTTTGTTTCGCTACAAATATTCCCCTCCTTTCCTAGAGGTTGTTCCTTGGAATGACTACTTGCGAATGAACACTATGAATATTAACAACAACATGCTCTATCTTTCTGAATTTATGCTAACCTGTGCAGTTCTTGGAGTTTTGTGTCAGCAGCATGAAACTGTGCTCCCTGCGCTGCAGTTTCAAACTATAGAGTCTGCAATGCATGCTATTGATTCCATGGATTTGGCTGAATCCCACAGATTGCTTGAAAACGCAATGGAGTCCCTGGAACAAGCTGAAAGTGTGCTTGCAAATCATAATGGCAGTATTACGAAGGAGATAAATTTCTCTGAAATACTTTTAAATTGGAGTACTGATGTGCGCAACGCTAGGGAAAATTACCGAGAACAAAGAGAAATTGTGGCGAGAATAGGTTGGGTTTTGAATGCGCTTCTTTCGCATAAAAAATTGGCCTTATTTTTCCTGGCTCGTGGAGGTCCTGCTCAAATCTTGAGGATTATTAATGGACCGTTAGATATGGCCACAGTATATGGGTGTTGTATTGTTCTCGCACAAATTTCCAAAACATCTATTTTTGAGGAAGTTCTTCGAAATTATGGAGAATTCTTCCATCCTGTAATGACATTTATTATTGATCAATGGAAAAACAGTCCCAGCACTGATGTCCAGGAAAGTGCTGGTGCTTTTCTGCTTAATTGTCTCAGCTTTTCGTGTGCTCTGGAATTTTTTGACAACTTGGGTGGAGGAACCCTTTTGATGGACACCCTCGAAAACTTTTTGAAAATGTCTGAAGGGCGCTTTGATGTCATCTTCCCCGGACTCCAGCTTGTGGCTTTGAAGTGCCTTAACACGTATCTTATAGTACATCTGATGCTTTCAACAAAAGTTCTCTTTCGGAAGCATCGTGTTCTCTCCTCTATGATCACTAAAGTTTCTCCTCAGACAGCCCTTCCTCGAGATTCAGGAATTATTGATTCAATTTTGTTCTTTTTTTCTTCCCCGACACCAGCTCTGCCCGATGTGTCGGTTGAAAACGTGCTGAGTTTATTGGTACCTGATCATCTTCCTGCTCTGAAAAGGACTGTAGATGAAGGTGTGCACAGTATCTTGCTGCGCTGTATTAATTTTTATCTTATCCAAAGTGCATGGGAGCCTCTTGCTGTTGCACTTCGGGCATTGCGTGTTTTGACAGTTGTACCTTTTGTGAGGCCATTGGTTATTGAACCACATGCAAATGAATCTGGAATAAGTGAGCTGCTGCTAATAGTCAAAGAATTGCATGTTTCATCCCACGATCGAAATTCCACTCGTGAGTACCACCTGCTTCCGTGCACAGTTTCAGCGCTCCAGATTTTAATCCATTTGCTCACGCCACCAATAGATGGAGCTGACAAGAGTGCCTTAACTGTCTTCAACAACGTATGCAGTGACTTTCGTGCGTACAACGGGGTTCGTACTCTTTTCGAGATTCTAAAGATCCAAAAAGAGTATACGTTTTCGGCGAAACTAAACTTCTTCCCTGTAGTGGCGCGAGTAGTTCAGCTGATGGTAGTGCTCCGTCGCTATGGGGATACCAGCCTCCTGCTGGAGTCTCTTGGAGTGCACCGTGAAGCACAGGACCTGCTTCAAGGATATGCAAGCGTGCAGCGCGAGTACATGGCCATGATGAGTTCACGAAAGCTTTTGGGGACTGAATGCGATCCTGCGGGAAGATTCATGGAAAATGTGAAAGTTCTGATGTCCACGGCGTATGGGGAGCTGAACCATTCTGAAATCGCAAAGGTACACCATGCTGACCCGCTTGAGATGGAGCAACGTAATATTATTATTTCGCGTGCTACCATTGACTATTCTCGAGAGTCTCTACTTACCCTGATAGCAAATCATTTACACTCGGAGGGCTGCGTTGAATCGGCTCAACTTCTTAGGTCGGAGGCAAAGCTATCGTCAATGACACCTCCCTCTGGGGATTCAAAAAGTGCAGCTTGCGATATAACCTTAGATAACATAATACGAACATATCTCCGACAGCGACAAAAAGAATGTCCGAATCCAATAGAAACCCTTCCCCAGTTTGATTTAACGAAGAAACACGTTTATGTGCCTTTGCCACCACCAGTAGATGAATCTCGAAACGTGGTGAACCGCTTACTGGATCGAAAGCTGGGAATCACTCAATCCCCACGCACGAATATCTATAGCAACTGTCTCACCTACCGATGCCCTGCTTTTATATTTAACATCGCATTTGGGGATGAAATTCTTCAAGGGGAAAGTGTTTGCTTCTGTGATAGGGGCGACACGCTCATGATCGGAACGTCGGAGGGGGGGATTGCCCTCTTTGATACCTTTCCCGGGGAGGAAAACCGCGAGAGGCACCCCGAGCAGCACGTCTTATTCGAGAACAACGGTGTGGCCTCGCTCGAGGTATCTGATGATGGGTTCTTGGTAGCTGCGGTGAGCAAGTCTTACAAGGCAAAGGTGATGGCGCGCGCGACGCTGCCGTCAGCGATGCAGGAGCTGGAGGACTGCTGCGCGCTGCGCTTCTCGCGCGACGGCAGGCTCCTCCTCGCGACCTCCGCGCAGGAGCAGGCATGCCGGCTCTACGACCTTGAAACGCGAGCGGAGATCCAAAGCTTCGTCGATCGTAACTGGGCAGGCGAGCACCTCCACCCCGCGGCCGTTTTCGACCCAGATGCCTCGCTCATTCTCCACGACGCGGTGCTGTGGGATCGGCGCTGCGGCAGGAAACCCCTGTTTAGGTTCGACCGCATCACCGAATCGTCGGCGAGCACATTTCACCCGTCGAATCGGATGGTGCTCATTGATGAGAAGGTGTGGGATCTTCGCTCGTTTCGAATGATACAAACTGTGCCCGCGTTTCGAAAAACAAGTAGCTTCCACATTAACCAGTTAGGGAAGGTTATCTATAGTTTTCGCCAGGCCACTTCTCGGTCCTACGAATCCACGTCGATTGTCTCGGCTGTGGATTCGTACTCCTTTGAGGTTATCTTTTCCGAAGAAACCAACCCACCCTTCAAGGCGTTTGTGCTGGATCCTTCGGACCGGTACTGCGCGGCAATTTTGGCTGAAGATCAGCAATCGGTTGCGATGGTTTTCTCAACGTCATCTGGACCTTATCCATCTTTAACAGGATTTACCTCTCCGAGATTTCAACAGCAAAAGTCAGAAAGTGATTTTGATGCTGAGGAGTCAAGTGAGCTATCATCTAGCTACAGTAATTATGAGGTCTACGATGATGAGGATGACAATGAAGAAACTAACGCTACTTATACTGAGGATGATGTACAAGAGGAGGGCTCGGAGCGGGAAGACGAATGGGATACATCAGACTCTGAGGTGCATTCTGCATTGAATCGTGAAGAGGGAGTAACATCTGAGGCGGATTTCTCTACCGCAAACTCTGAACAATCCACTTAGAAGGCTGCGTGCGAAAAACTAAGAATCGGATAATTGGAAGGATCAGTCTGTCTTGCCTGAAAAGTAAGTCCAAAAGACAGATAAAATAAATTAAATTTATGAACTGTAGATAACTTTTAAACAAAAAATCCTTTTCTTGTCTTATCTTTAAAACAAGCATGAGAGAATGCTCTGATCGAGTCTGAATTCTGCAACTATCTTTATTTAATTAGTTTCATGCAGTGGTCCAGTTAGACTTCATTTTTACTTTATTTTAGATGAAAAGCATCGAATCAGCAGGTTTTGTTTGAAAACATTTGTAAGTGTATTGCAGGCCAAAAATTGTGAGTAAAAAAATGGTTTTTGTTGAATACACAAATAAAAAAAGCCATCAAAGATGGATCACACAATCCTGGGAGCTCTTCACACTGAAGTAAAAGTGAAGATTGTGTGGATCTAGTTGAAAGAAAAGAAAACGGGGTTTCCCTTCTACCACGTACGTAAACTTCTCTCAAGTATGATGCATCACGCATTATCTCGGTGCAGTGGCCGTGAATAAAGCAGCTAAAGTTAACCACAGTAAAAGGGAGATTTTGCTAGGCCGTGTGAAGCCTAGTAGCCAATCTGCACCATCGAAAGTTCACCACCAAAATACTCCCATCTCAATCCTTGCCAACCTGTGCTCTATGCTGGTGGAGTTCGAAGCAGTTAACTGCCTTTTGAGCAAAAAGATGGTCAGATTGATCATGGTCCGAAGGGTTGATTGTTATTTTTTTGGGGGGGGTGGGGAAATGAACTGTAAGGATGCTTGAACCTTAGTTCTCTGGAACTCTATAGAAGTAAAATGGCTGCATACTTCTTTTCCTCAGAAAAGAGCTACTTTCATTTTCTCTCTACTCTTTTTTCTTGCATTTCTAAAATTGCTGTAAAAAAAAGACAGAGGAACTTTACAAAGAAAAAAAATTGCGCATTTGTAGAGTTGGAAAGATGGACTTGTTACCGGATTTCCGATCACACCCCGTAACGACGGCACTACTGTGCATATCCGGCTTCCTGCTAATTTTAACTGCCTTTGATATCTTGCATCCGATTCAGTTGGTGTATAGTCCGACCCTCGTGTATGATCAAAAACAGTATTGGCGCTTAGTTACCTGTTTTTTATACTTTGGTGAATTCAAATTAAACACATTGCTCCATTTGAACTGGGTTGTTTACATGAGTGGTGTGATTGAGCAGCATTTCTTTATTAAACGCTCTTTAGATTACATCTGGCTGCTTTTCCTGGGCTGTAGCATGATTCTTTTTATTCGATCCATCCGAGTGATAGACTTGCCATACCTGAGCGTCGTGCTTGGGAATATGCTTCTTTACTTGGTCAGTCGCATACTCCCGCGACACAATGTTAACATTGTTGAGATCATTGAAATTCCAGTGCGGATGTTGCCTATTGTTTATGTTTCCATTGGCACTGCAATGTATGGACTGTCTGGGATCAAGATAAACTTGGTTGGATACTTTGTAGGCCATGTACTTTGGTATTTTTCAGAAATTTTCCCACACATCACAGGGCTACATCTGCTGCGAATTCAGCATCGTATTGAACGACTCTTAGCTTGAAATGTAATAAAATATGGCCTAGCAAGTGTTTGATTGAGAAATTGGAATGGGAAAAGACCAAAAAATCTTGATGTTGGTGTCGTTTTTCCCCCTTTTTTGAAGCGTGTGGTGAGAAGCCTGTTTACAACTCTACATACATCTAATAATTTTCTTCCTTTATTGTCGACGCTCCCCCCACCTCTACTTTTTCCTTTTTTTTATCACTTTATTATTGTTATCAGATGGTGCTACGGCTTTGTCTGCCCATCGTTACATATTTATGCCGAGATGTCGCGACCTTTCTTAGAAAGATGTCCACGAAGGCATTTAGTCATTCATATGGATATAAACAAAACCATTCTTCAGGTAGACCCCGCTGGCAGTCGCTCCATGGAGGATATTCTTAATAGCAACGCGGCGGACAATGTCTATGGATACGTGGACTCTTCAGGTGAGTGGAAGGCTCTCTACGGGCCGCGCGAAGCGAAGAGCCAAACCTTTCCTCACACCGTGAGCTCAGATAACATCGTCACTTATGCAGCTTTCATTGATCAAAAGTATAGTGAACCGGGAATCATGCAGACGCTCTCTCCATCAGAGCGGAGCGCGAAATGGGCGGAGATTTCCTCCCTCCGTAGAGCAGCCACGGGGCGCTTTACCACGCCTAACTCAATCGGCTGCCGCTACGCTTATATGGTAGAAGAACAGAGACAATGTCTTAAACTAAACTCCGGTGACGGTTACCATTCCATCGTGCCCTCCTTTTTTAATCTGATTAACCTGCTTTCTAACCTTGATTGGTCTTTCACTTTAATCTTTCGAACGTTTGGTAGTGATCTGCCAAAGGTACTTGAGGAATGGCAGCAATTTGTACAGGGGACGCATGAGTGTAAGCCGGAGGGATCCGTACTCCGGCGGATGTCTGAGAATATCGTCACTCCACGAACCGGGTGTATGTATCGAGATCATGAAGAGATGTACTTGTGTTTAGGACCCTCTCTTTCGGCATCCACCATCCGTTCGCTTGATTTGGCAAAAATAACGCACCCCAACAATGTAGCCATCATAACGGAGCTTAAGAAGCTTCCTAACTGTCATAGTGTCAGACAAACCAACTTACACGAATTGAATAGCCATCTAATTGAATACTTTGCACAATCAAACAACGTTGGTGGTTTAGTGGATTACTACCCTGCCTGGGCTCAGGCAGCGGAACGCAGATGCGCGGGGAAGGTATTCCCCATTCCCTTTTCCAAGCGCGGAGAGGGTGTGAACTACTACGTATTTTTTGATGATAATATCTTCATAGGGAATGATCGATCTATTGTCGACTTACGCGATGAACACACTATGAAAAGCTTAATCGGGAGTACATCTGAGAGACCATTCTGTATCCCGGTAAATGCCTATGAGGCGATCACGAATGAGGATTACTTCATTGATTGCTTGTCCGAGCGCCTCAAGGATCAGCTTAATATATAATGCATAAAAAGATATTCCTACATCTGGCGGATAAATATTGCATTAATTTCGTCTCAGGGTTTAGTTTTCATAATTTGTAGCTCTTAGCATGGGTGCGCATAAGGAATATTATATATATGCATATATGCATGTATCAGTAGTACTCCGCTAGATGTAACTCGTAATATCTTTTATTATTTTTGTGTACTCTTTTCCATCTGTCCTTGATTATCACATTATGAGTGCATACATGGGCGCGTGTGAGTAAAATTTGTCGTTCCTTTTCTTTCCATCGCGTGTGTTAAAACTTAAAGTACAACATGGTAACACAGTTATCAGATGGTGAATAAAAGAGGCGTTAAAAATAGGAAGTATGATCGTGTTTCACCGTAAAAAGCTTGACTTTTTATTGCAAGATATTTTTTCTTTAAAAAAAGATGACTGAATATAAAAAGTTAGCAATGCTTGTAGAGAAGCTTAAAAACGATACGGACGCACTCATGCAGGGACTCATGAGACATTCACTTCAAAATGAAGATCCGCTTATGTCAGGCAGCCCAACTATCGAGGAGCTCCATTCCATCGCGATGGATATCAAACACATCATTCTCCAGGCAACTCCACGCTTGAAGAAGATCGTATCCAAAGCTCGAGAAACTGATCCTGATCGACAAATATATAACGAGATGATGTGTAAAAAGATTGAGCAGTTACTAGAAACCTTTTGCGATGTCTTGGTTAGTCGTTTAATTCGCCAAGAGAATGCTGGTGATAGTGCGAGCAAAATAAGCGAAACAAGCGAGGAGATGCTCCAGAACCTAACGGATGCTTCGCTGGAGGATTACCCCGCTCTCGCCAAAGTCGAGGTGTTATATGACAAACACATGCTACGCCGTGCGGCTGCAGAAGCCTGGTCTCAACGTATCGCCACGGACCTTTCTGGGCTCATGAAGTTTGAGGAAGAAGGTCGTGCGGTGCTAATAGCTCGGGAAAAGCTTACGCGTGCTAAATTTCTGGAAGAAAAAGGCAACCAGAAAGATTGCATTCTCAAATTATTAAAACAAAAAGAGGTGGAGAAATGGGAGTCTGAAGTGGCACGGAGGGTTTTGGAGCATGCCGGCCTGCATAATTTGTCGAAAGATCTGAAGAAGCATTCTATTCCACCACTTATCTCTGAAATGATTTCGGATCCAGCGTTGCAGAAGCTGTTTGCCGCCCGCATGTATAGATTAACAAAAGACCTTCTAGTTACCCCCGAAGATGAAAGAATTCGCTATTTAAGAAACAATAATCAAAACCTGATCGAAGACTTTGGTCATCCTTGCCTCTCCCACAGGCTATGTGGCTGCACCTGTCGGGTATTTAATACTGTCGCTGAGAGGATATGGTACGCTCTAGGTTACGAGGTACAGTATTCAGCAAATAAGTCCTTCATTCCGTCCATTTTGGTTGAGAAAGGTATTTTACACGATACCACGCTGCCATGCGGCCGCGCGCTTCACGAGCATCAGTACATTGTGATGGGATTTGAAGACTATTCGGAGCGCTTTTTCGAGCTGAAGGAACCTGACGCCACAAAGAAACCTGATGAGTGGGTGTTGTGGTACGAGCATGTGCGCGAGATTGCAGATACCCTTTGCTCACTCGTGTGATTCCAGTTCTCAAAAAATCACCTGCTTCTGCTAATAATATAAACATTGAAGTGAGAAAATATGACCTCACTACTGCCCAAAAGCTTGTTTGATATCGCTACGTTTGACTTTTCTCATGTGTGCATATCTGTCTTCAATTTATGTTTGTGAATCGTTGCGTTTTTGCTCCTATTATTTTGCTGTTTACTCCATGGCATGTTTGTCTCTTTTCTTTCACTTTTACTGGTATTATTAAAGATGAAAGGATATGATCATTTTTTAAAACTTTTCCTTCTATACCTTTTTCTTGTCAGTTCGAGTTTGAATTTATCTTCCTCTGAAAAAAAAGTTGCTTCCATTGAAGAGCTCAAGTCTTAGGGAACTATATCGTTTTTTAACTTTCAGATTTTTGTCGTTTTTTTTGCTCCTTTCCTATAACCTGATTTAAACAAAATAATCGCAACCGTTTAGTTTTTTTTTACACTGTACAAATCTTTAAATACAATTATTCTCTACCCTTCCTTTGATGAACATGGAAAATATTCCACCCCCTCCCAAAGGACCAAGTCAAATCCAATATAACTTTATTACCGTAGATGAAGCCTTGAAGGAGTTCGATACGATACTGTCACCATACGAGCAAGAGGAAATTACTTCATACTCAAGGATTTACTACGCCGGCCAGCGCTGTCGTGATAAAATACAAGCACCTCAACAGGGTCATAATTATGGATATGATAATGCCGATAGCGAGTACAAAATAGTCGTACATGATCATATTGTGTACCGCTATGAAATTGTTGGCTTTCTCGGTGGCGGTACTTTTGCTCAGGTTGTTAAAGCTATTGATCATGCCACTAAAACTCAGGTAGCAATAAAGATTGCCAAAAACCTGAAAGCAATCACAAAACAGGCTGAAATTGAGGCGGCTATGCTATTGTATATCCAAGATGCGGATCCAAACGACATGTTTGGCTTTATGCGAATGCTTAACAACTTCATGTTCCGTAACCATATGTGCATCGTCAGCGAGCTGTTAGGTATGGACTTGTACACTTACATGGAAATGACAGACTTTAAGTCCATGTCGCTTCAAGAAATTAAAAATATTGCCTCAACGATACTCATTTCGTTGGACTTTATGTGGAGGAAGAATATCATTCATAGAGATTTGAAGCCCGAGAATATTGTGTTCAGGTCTAATGATAGCAGAGAAGTCAAGATAATAGACATGGGCTCCGCTTGCCATAACGATAAAAAATGTTATGGCTACATTCAGTCGAGATTTTATAGAGCACCAGAAGTTATTCTTAGGGTGCAATCTGGACCTCCTATCGATATGTGGAGCTTTGGCTGCATTCTTTGCGAACTAGCTACCGGTTATCCAATTTTCCCTGGCGAAAATGAAAACGATCAATTTAAGATCATCGTCGATTACATCGGGCCACCTCCACTGACAATGCTTAGGGCAAGTGTAAATGAAGCCATCAACTCAGATGCAACGCTATGCTACCTCGCGTCTCAGGGCGAAAATGCAAAGATTCAAGGCCTGAGCGTCAATCGGCTCGCTTCATTTTTGGACGTCCCTCCAGACGATGTTTTTCTAAACTTCATCCAGCAGCTTTTAGTCTGGGAACCCGAAAGGCGCGCAACGCCATGTGAGGCAATGAGGCATCCGTGGATATCGAAAAGTCTTATCGTTCGCAACCCGACACAGGGCATTGATGATATTCCAACTAGGACATTGACCCCAAACCTCGAAGAATCAGTCGGGGCAATGCCCACAACGCTCCACTCCCAGAAGACGAGAAATGGGGAGCGTGAGGACTCATGGATACCCTTGGAAACCCAACCAGGCGCCACGACCGAGAGCACTTCAAAAGAAGCTGCCATGGAGGGAAAGTCGGCCGCAGAGATCTTCTCAATGCTGTTGTCTTCTCCTTTTTCGAACTCTAAACTAAATTTTCATTATACAATGCTGTCGTGTAGCGAACCTGGCGCTGCGGAGCAGAATAAGTTGTCGTGCCTTCTTCAGAAAGCCAATGTCCGGCGCACGTGCAGACGACCAGTTGACGCAATACACGCTATTATTGCACAAAATGACTTCACTAGGAACAAATCGGAGATCGTGAAAAATAGATGTGAACAAGGTGAATCTGTCACCGACACTCATGGTCCTTAATGATCGTCGCTATGGTGTCAATAGTAATGACATTATTGATCAACTGATACATGTACCATTGGGTGCCCAATATGTGATGGTGCAAAAGCGTGGATGGGGGGTATGGCAAAAGCTAAGATGATACTTAACGATTAAAAATTCATACCGTTAAATAGATTATCATTAGATGAGTTAAACACATTATCCAAGGAACCCTTTTTCAAAAATAAAACGGACAAGGATAGGAGTAGATATTCCTAAACCTGGCGCAACATCACTATTATCTACTATCGCGGTAAAATTTGCTTTGGGTCAATTTTGGTTACCACGAGACTGTTGATGTAAATTAATGGGAAATGTGGTGCCATTTGTGGTTCATCTTCTTGCTTTTTTATGTGTGCATATATCAAATTCTGTGGATGAATTCGCCTTTCTTATGATCACTTTTCTCCTCCTTGATGATTTAAGTCACTGCTGTCGACGACGTCATCAAAAGAAAATACTGCATTATTTTATTATATAAAGTTTTTAATCATTTTCATGTAATGTACGGATACTTAATTCCCTTCCATCTGACCTTTATGGTACACAAAGGATGTTTATGAAACAAGCAAATCGATCAATATATCTTTTCCGATCCATTTGTGTTATACAATCAGAACTAAACACACGGTTTGATTCCTATACTTTCATTCGTTTAACCCAATGATTCAATAGGCTCAATTGTTGCTAATACAAATACTTTGTTCCCTCTCTTCCTCAAAGAACATTCTCAATTCTCTCCAGTTGTAATTAGATGATACACCCAAAAAATGCATGCCTCTTTCAGGTCAAGTTTTTTTACAGGCTAATAGGGAACTTTTAGGTCTCCACGGAATTTTTCATTCCCATTCATTGGCACAACTAAGGACTCCGGTATACTCAAAAGGAGGAAGAATCTCTGTTTGGCTTGCAAACGGTTTTTGTATAGTCACGTATTGCATCATGGCTAATTGGATTTACAAAGGCTACGTGGATTTGTGCTATGGTGTGTACGGTGTTGATGACGACTGATAGCATCCTGGACAAAATAGGTTTGTAGATCTCAAAAATACGGAGACGGGGAAATGGCGTTGTGTCCATATACAAATCTAAAATGCTTGCTTTAACGTAGTGGAGGAGCACACACACAGGAAAACTGCTTGTATTGATTTAACAAATCTTAATCCGGAGAGGTGATCTTCCTATTATTTTTCCATATATAGTTTGTTTTCTCTTTCAGATTATGAAGAGAAATAAATACATACACATAATATTTGAAGTGAACAAAAATAGTATATTTTGCATTTAAAATGTCATTCGATACAAAAGTAGATGCCCTCATTAAGGTGTTACTAATCGGTGATAGTGGTGTGGGAAAGTCATCTCTGCTTTATTCATTCACAACTGGAACCTTTAATGAAGGCATTGGCACAACGATCGGAATCGATTTTAAAGTTAAAAAAGTGGATGTCGTGGACGAAATAAGTGGGCAGTGTCGGCATGTGAATATGCAAATATGGGACACTGCTGGGCAGGAGCGTTTTCGAACCTTGACAAACTCGTATTATCGAGGGGCCCATGCTATTGTTCTTGTCTACGACGTCAGTGTGCCTGGTTCGTTTTCTAGTCTTTCAAAATGGCTGGAAGAAGCAAAAAGATGCTCCCAAAGTGAGGATATTACTTTTTTGCTTATTGGGAACAAAATTGATTTGTGCATTTCTGAAGAACATATGCCTGTTCCCCAACTAGCTGCTGAGTCGTTTGCGAGACAACACCACATGCTTCTTGCATTTACCTCTGCAAAAACCAGAGTAGGAATTTCACAAGCATTTGATGAGGTTGCTCGAAACGCATATGATCGGCTTGCCGAAAAGGGTGACACTACCAAACGCCATACCAAGAATCTGATTGGGGAATTCTCTGATAGAAGTTTCGCGACATGTTGTTGATATGATATTTGTTTCCGTAGGAAAAATGATTACCTGAAGCGTCACCCATAAAATAGTCATGCAAACACCTGTGCATCTGTTTTCATTATAGTGATAAAACTTGTGCTTCTGAGACTGCTATAAATTGTGAGAAAAAAATAACATATGGCTCTCATAATCTATATTCGTCCCCCCTCGTTGCCACTTAAAAGGTCCCCTCCCCTTCCGCCTACCCCCCCCCAAAGCCGCCGGTCCCTCATTGGACCCGCACCACCAGCTTGATGCGGCGGGCCCCGTGTGTGTGCCCCCATCACCCATCCCACAGAAGTATCACGATTCCGAAATAAACGAACTATATGGATTGACAGACAACACATTTGTCATCCTTATTTTTCCCCCTTCACTTTTTTTTTGGCTTTTCCTTTGTTTTTTCTCCCTCCGTGTAACACGAATTATTATGCAAATTCCCCTATCACAACTGCAGAAAATGCGGTAGAGCGAGCCGCAGGGGTAGGCATTCTATTAAACGTAGCTCATGCGGCTCATCATTCCCCCTCCACACGCATTCTCAGCTCTCCGCCGTCCGCTGCGCAGCGGTTTAATACTCCTCAACATCCTCCTCCCCCTCGTCGCCGACAGACTCCGCGCCAACTTCCTCGTAGTCCTTCTCAAGGGCGGCGAGGTCCTCGCGGGCCTCGGAGAACTCACCCTCCTCCATGCCCTCGCCGACGTACCAATGCACAAACGCACGCTTGCTGTACATGAGGTCAAACTTGTGGTCGATGCGTGCGAAGACCTCGGCGATCGCAGTGGAGTTGGCAATCATGCACACCGCACGCTGCACCTTGGCGAGGTCGCCGCCCGGGACAACCGTCGGGGGCTGGTAGTTGATGCCGCACTTGAAGCCGGTAGGGGACCAGTCCACGAACTGGATAGTCCTCTTCGTCTTGATCGTCGCGATCGCGGCGTTGACGTCCTTTGGCACGACGTCGCCGCGGTACATGAGGCAGCAGGACATGTACTTGCCGTGGCGGGGGTCGCACTTGGTGAGCATGCCAGCGGGCTCAAAGACCGAGTTCGTGATCTCGGCAACGGAGAGCTGCTCGTGGTAGGCCTTCTCGGCGGAGATGACGGGGGCGTAGCTCGTGAGCACGAAGTGGATACGCGGGTACGGGACCAAGTTGGTCTGGAACTCCGACAGGTCGACATTGAGGGCACCATCGAAGCGGAGCGAGGCGGTCAGCGAGGACACAACCTGGCCGATGAGGCGGTTGACGTTGGTGTACGTCGGGCGTTCGATGTCAAGGCTGCGTCGTGTCAGGTCATAAATTGCTTCATTATCAAGCATCGTCGCGACGTCGGTGTGTTCGAGAAGAGAGTGCGTCGAGAGGACGGAGTTGTACGGCTCGACGACGGCGGTGGACACCTGCGGCGACGGGTACACAGTATAGCCGAGCTTGGACTTCTTGCCGTAGTCCACGGACAGGCGCTCGAGGAGAAGGGCACCGAGGCCGGAGCCCGTGCCGCCGCCGACGGAGTGGAAAACCATGAAGCCCTGGAGACCGGTGCAGTTGTCAGCGAGCTTGCGGATGCGGTCGAGGCACAAATCCACGATCTCCTTCCCGATGGTGTAGTGCCCACGAGCGTAGTTGTTGGCGGCGTCCTCCTTGCCGGAGATCAGTTGCTCGGGGTGGAAAAGCTGACGGTAGGTACCGGTGCGGATCTCGTCGACAACGGTGGGCTCAAGGTCGAGCATCACGCAGCGCGGCACGTGTTTGCTGACATCGGTGAACTTGTCCTTACATGTTGATGGTCCTATTGGAGGTTTGAGTCATTCTGTATGTCCGGTCGGTTCCACCCTTTCTTCATCTGTAATGACTTCCCTGAACCTTGTACTAATCTGGATATCGTGCTACTTTATTTGGCCATAATTATTTTCCCATGAAGCGATGTTTGTGGTGATGATGTTTTTGTTAGGAAAGAACTATTAACTGTTTAGTTCACTACTTGCTATTAAGCCTTTCATAATATTGAATATATAAATATACATTTTACATAGGCAATATTCTTAAAGCTGTCATTCCAACGTTTCAAAAATTTTATTGGCATTCTACTACTGTGTTTTTTCTTCTAATTATGAAGCAGCAAGTAAATACGCAAGAAATGTAATAAAGTTAGGCTTTATTTATCGTCAATGCTTTTTGAAACAAAATTCACTCGAGCATCTTAAGCCAGATTAATTTTGATTAGGATAAAACCCAGCACACTAATGATAAGAAAGAAAATGCATATATTTACGCAACAGTTCATTGGCTTTTGTGTGTGTAGCATCTTTTTCATTCGTCCGGTTAAGCCACGTATTCTTTGCTGTTGCTTCACAATGTTTTCCTCAGTGTTCAAAAGAATCTCATTTTGTGTACTCAATTGACCACCAATTTCCATTGCGAGATTGTGAAGCCTACTAGCACCCTCCCTCAGACGATCTAAACCAGCATTGATCTTGGCCTCCTCTTCAGCTATGATTTTCATTTGTTCCTTGGTTTCCTCGCTCTCCTCAAGCTTCCCACCACCCACTGTGGGATCTATAAATCTATTCATAACATTTCCGTTCGGCTCCGATTTATTCCAGTGCATCCCCAAGAGTTTCTGTCTCAATTCCATCCTTTTTCCAAAATCAGTTTCCTTAATTGCGTTGATGCCGCCTCGGCCCGCTTCCACCCTCTCCGAATTCATTTCACGGACTACATGTAGAGTTGCTAAGCAATCGTTGTACTCCTGGTGTTTCTCTTTAAGACTTCGCTCCAAAAGGTCCACCTTCCCTTTTTTTCGATTCTTCTTCTTTTCCTTGATAAGTAACCTTTCAGCCTCATCAACTAGCTGCTTTATTTCTGCTAGAATATCTTCCATACGAAAAATATCTTTACGAATTCTATTTGACAGCTCAATAGTCATGTAGTCATCACCATGATCGCGGCAACCCTGATTACGCTCATTTATATCGTTCTTGGTACGAACTACTAAGTTAATAAAGGTATTTAATAAGTCTCTAAAGGGGTCCCCAGTCGATTGTAAGGTATAATCTTCATTTTCCTTACCAGCCAAGTGACGAATTTTATAGATCCGACGGATTGTATCACGCAGAATTGAACGCGTGAGTCCATCAAAATTGGGCAAGTAAGTGAGCATGTTCAATCCCTTGAAAAACACACTTGAATTATAGTTCTTAAGAAGTAACAATTTACTACTTTAGAAGTAAAATGTTTAAGTGGGAAAAAGGTGACTTTAAAAAAGATACGTCACTAGCAAGAGTAAGATGCAACTTCATTTTTGTTCTATGGGACGTTTATCCTTTCTCGCGTAAACTCTATTATCTCATGAGAAAACATCTTTCCTTAATGCAATCGCTTGTTTGGGAATCACAAGGGAAATACAGGAAA